GTCTTATTGATTCTCAACTTTTGTATTCATAACTTAAATTCACAAATCTCTAACTAATGTTTCATGAAATAATATCTAACTTTCTCAAAGTAATCATTGATATACCACACAAAGTAATAGTATCCACACTTTAACATTACATTCATAGGTCCCTAAATTTTAGGATGTGATAAGGATTAAAGTGGTTCTTTCATGAGAAAATCCTCAAAATATTTCAAAGGGGGGGAGAATGTTATTTCACATTTAATTCAAATTACAACAATGGATGTCACATTCTATTTTAACATGAGATTAAGGAAAAAACCCAAGGACAAAATAAACAATTATCCTTAATTTACATCTTGCTCTAAGAAGAGCACATTGCCCCCCCCCCCCAAAATAAATTTCCCTATTAACTTGTCATAGATACATATTTGAATATCCACACTAGATTTTAAATGATTCTTTACATAACCCAATAATATCAAATTCGGAAATTAATCATCTTTCCATGCTGCACTATGAGTTTCCTTGTGTGCATCACTGTGAAAATATAAATTGGTCCATATTGCAGTTTTTAGTGTATGTGCAAGTTGACAAAAAAACCTCATTGTCTAGCCATTATATATTTCTCAACTAATGCTGCATCACATCTACAACTATGTTCATGTACATCACTTGATTATTTCTATGTCTCTCTTGCAATATCTTTCATGTATGACACTGTGGCTCCCACTTTATGAGAGATAAACCAAGCCCATATTACATGAGATCCACTCTAGTATGTGCTCCACACCATGTCACAACTTGTGTTATACATTCTTTATATCACTTCAATTAACCACAAGTTGTCAGCATGTGTTGTGCACTATGTAGGTTTTTGTGCCTACTATTCCTTGTCACCACTTTAGTGTACCACATGCTACTTAAATTTGTTGCACACTACATAAGGTTCTCTTAATGTTTGACTATCATACAATTTATTGTAGTTGTGTTATTCCAAACATTTTCTAGTGCCAACTCATTCCACATAGTTTCTCATGTTAACACCATCTACACAACTTCTCATGACAATAATATTTATACAATTTCTACTAATGGTGATGTTTATGTTGTCATTGCATATGCATAGTGCACATGCTCTTACATGATTTCTTATACAAATATTAGTTTGTGTCAAACCCAAGACTTGATTTTGCTTATAGTTCAATAGAGATCTCTTCGTGCTTTGTGCTGATCCCTACCACTCAAAAGCATGTTGTTAGGTTTAATCTTAATGGAGAATTTCCCAACTTGATGTTCCCATGCACATAACTCTGTGCAGTCCAATATGAAGTCTCCTTGTACAAGTGCTAAAATGTGCTGCTCTAATGCATCCTAGTTGTAGCTAATTAAATGAAAATTCTTTCATATTAGTGCCAATATTTACCATGCAATAGTATACTACTTAGTACATTACTAATGGGGATTCTCCTCATATTAATACTAATGTAGAATATTCTAGTACACATTGTCTTGTCCAGTCCAATGGATGACTTTTGATGATTTTCCATACCAATGCCACCTCCACACAATCCTACATATTGATGTCATTTCCACACACTTACATGTGTTGAAGACTACACCTCATGATTCCTATGCCTACATTCCTGCTGCATTTCTTGTGCCAATATAAATCCACTTTGTATAGTGCACTTCTAGCATCTTCAATTGGTAGTACAATCGGCCCAAGTCACGGGTTTTCATACATGGTCCTTTGCTATTACATTTGCCCTTCTATTCTAACACAATGTTGTTGAGCACCTTTTGTATGACCTGGTGACCATCTTTAGCACATCTAGACTTAGTGTTTTCATCCACTTGAGTCACACACTCTCACGAGCAAGCCACCATCACTCACACCTCTAGCCAATGTCATATGTCTCATGCATGCGTGCGAGTGTGTGACTCAAGTGTGAGTAATGGTGGCTTACTCATGAGAGTGTGACTCAAGCATGTGTGCAAAGCCACCATCACTCACACTCTAGTCATGTCATCATCACATTGGCATGCGTGTGGAGTTATTGTACATCTGTCTCGTGCCAATGTCATTTTGTGCAGCTCTACATAACTCCGCACACCTCTAGCCTTTCTATGATCATCCTTGCATGATTGATCTACAAGTGTCTTTGCCTAATGTTGTTCCATGTCATATAAGCATGCATTGCCTACACACTATTCACAGAATGTTATCTTTGTGCCTAAGTCTAACTACATTTTAAATAGAGAATCTCATCTAGTTATGTATCATACTCAAAAATATTTTCTCATGCATTGTTCAATTGACTTCATCATCACTCTTAGAATACCTCTTGTATATGGCATCATGGCTCTCTCTCCATGAGAGACCAATTAGCAAGCTCTCATAGTATGAGAACTGATCCAATATGTGTCATTTGTACACACTTCACAAGACATCATTGCCCATCTATGGTGTGTAATCCTCATTTATTAAACTCCTTATACTACTCTCACTAATATGGCCAAACCTTGAGTGTTAGGACTTTATAGTATTTTATGTACAATCTTTAGGTGTTGTTAATGAAACTTCACTTAAAATAATACATCTCAAAAGTCAATAAATACTTTATTCTTATTATTACTATCAATGATACTTTACACATAGTCAAGGTTACATTTCTAACCTTAAAAATATAGTTGTTCGAATCTGATTTCTTAAAAATATTAGATTTCTATAGAGACCATGAACATATCTCACATTCTCTAAGGTTTCAAGGTAGCATCAAACATCTTAATTTGAATAGTATCAATTCAAATAACCTTACAAAACACTATTGCTCAAACAATACTATATTAATTAATTGACCTACTTATGTTAAATCAATCCAAGTTTTGACATGATATGAATTCTTAGAATCTAATATTGATCATTCTACAAATTTTTCTATTGCAACTAATATAAACAACATATCCATATTATTACTCTATGATTTGTCTTTTGTAAAAATCTGTAGAATCTGAAAGCTCATTCTTAGTTTGGTTCATTGTTTAACTTCAAGCAATCTCTCATCAAGTATTCCTTCTATGAAAACATATGACATTATATATTCTTAAGCTAGTGTGTTTTGAATTTTGTCCTTCACTATAATTTCCTCTTCTCTATTGACTTTTCTCTTTTTCCTTTAGCCATAGACTTTTAATATGCATACTTTCTATAACTTATTATTATATCTTCAATATTAGAAGTTTCATTTCCCAACAATAATGTTTCAACTAAATACTCATATTAGCCACTGATTAAAAAAAGAAAAATCAATGCTTTATCCCCCTATTCAAATTTAACTTCTATCTTCAATAGATAGCAAATGATCTAAATTTAAACTCAATATGTGTTATAATATCACATTTCTTTGTCATAAACCCATGTAAATTATGCATGAAGAAATTACATTTTTGTCAAATATTTTGACATAAAACAACTTCTTATTTTTTCTTAAAATAAACACTTCTCTTGAAATATTTTCTAGAGACAATCAAATGATACTAGTTGTCTTCAGCCTTATATCTACTATGTTGAGCAAGTAGATCATTAACCTTTTTCTGCCACATGCAAAAGTTAGAGGTGACATCAAATTTCTCAATGAATGAATTTTGAAGTGCTGGCCATTTTTATGTTACTTCTAACCTCACTTTGATAACACTTGTTGCTTTCTTGAAGAGAAAACCAATGACTAAAAAATAAAATAGATAATATAACTTGAGATGTAAAAATAATACAAATAATGGAACTCACTTGCTTCCTAAATCTAGCCAGCCTACCTCTCAATGAATTTAAACTTACTAAATGACAAAAAAATAAAATAGATAATATAATATGAGATACAAGGATAATACAAATAATAGAACTCAAACTTTCATAAAGATATCTATATGAGGAGATTGAGAGAGAGAGAGAGAGAGAGAGAGAGAGAGAGAGAGAGAGAGAGAGAGAGAGAGAGAGAGAGAGAGAGAGAGAGAGAGAGAGAGAGAGAGGAAGGGGGGAGAGGAGAGAAGCTACCAAGATAATAACTACAATTAGGTTAGATTCAAAACCACCAAATTGTAATGTAAAATCAGCTAATTTTTATGCCCCCTCTCAATTTATGAGGGATTACAAGCATTCTATGCAACACAAGTAGAAAGAGAATTACAATCTACTTCTTGCTTATGTGCGTAGTAAGCACTTTAACAATCTACTTTGTTGAGCCCAATATAGATTTTTGTCACATCTTTAGGATCCATTTCTAGGATCCCAATATACCTTGGCCTAAATCCATTTCCAAGATCACGAAATTATTCCATTATTCTCTCTTCAAGAATATAATTGATTTCATAAGATCAACAATCTCTTATCTAGTAGAAGTTTGCATGGTCATGCTTTCATCATCCATCATACATATAAGGCTACATTCTGTTCCTTTCACAACTCTCTTTCTATTGAATGATGATTTTCTTCTTGTACAATTTTCAATACAAAGTAATTCCACTTTAGTGAAAGGTCCAAAATGCAATTAGTGTTTTGCTAATTAAAATCAAATTCCTCTTCCTATGACAAGTGAAAAACCCAAGAAAATAAATCATAAAAAAAAAAGATTAATATTTGCATGTCTCCATCTTCAAGGGCCGGTGCTCTTCTATAGCTTTCAGAATTTCTTTCTTAAATTGTTGTCAGAACTCTATAAATCTTCTCACGTGATGTAGTCTCCACAAATTTAAACGAAAATAATAATTTCGTTTATATTCATTTAAATAATAGAAATATTCCATTCCCCTTGGCTTTAATTATCACATAAATCTGAACGATTTTATTTCCTACTCATGAAACAATAACATAGTTTAACAAGGATTTCGTAGAAACCTTGGACCACGTGGTGGAGGGGACGGAAACGCATTCTACAACTAAATTCTGCTAAACTTGGATCAAAGCTGGGATTTTTACAGACGGAGGGAGGTGGGGCAAGTGGGGGCCATCGCCGACAGGTTCAGATCCCGAAGGCCTTCTGTATCGCGCCGACGACTCGACTGGCGACCTGCTGGCCGAACAATCGGGGGAGATTGGCGGAGAGATCGATCTCCACGGTCTTCCTCTTGATCAGATCGTCCCTCGCCACCAGGCCGGTCCTGTCCCCCTCCGTCACCTCCCTCTCGGCGAGAGCGCACCGATCTAACCACACTCCGATCACCTCCTTGGCGGCGCCGGCGACCAGTTCCCGCATCAGCTCCTCTAGGGGGCGGGCGCCCTCCGCCCCGCAGTTGATGCCGACGGCGATGGCCGTTGGGGATAGCACGCTGCGGATGTAGAGGGAGGAGGAGCGGTAGGGCGCCACCTCGGCGGCGCTCTCGAGGCCCTGCCTGGTCTTCTCCAGCGAGGACTGCTGGTAGAAGTGATCGAGGTAGTCAGCGTGGAGGACGAGGTCCCTGCGGGGGAGCAGGTCGATGAAGAGGACGAGGGAATCGGGGCCGTTCTGGATGAACTCCACGAGGAGGTGCGGAGCGTCCGACTCCGGCCGCAGGTAGGCGAAGAGTGTGGTGATGTCCAGCACCCCGAAGGGCAGCTCGCAGTGCAGCCACGACTGCAGGATCAAATCCACCTGCGGAGAGGAAGTAAAATATACCATCACCAGTGAGGAAGGAAGAGCATCTCTGAAGCGAAGGGGGAAGGGGGAAGGGGAAAGGGGAAAGGGGAAAGGGGAAGAAAAGTGTGGGGACTAGGGTTTCGTGCGGCACCTTGGATCCGTCGGCGCCGTGGCGGATGTCGAGGGAGCCCTTGCAGTTGCCGGAGTCGCTCTGGAAGGAGAGGACGTCTGGAGGGACGGAAGAGGGGAGGAGGTGAGGGCCGAGTCGGCTCTCCGTGTCGGAGAGCAGATCCAGCATCAGATCCCGGTGCGCCGGCGACAGGTAGGGGAAGTCCATCGCCGGCCCCTGGCCGCCCCCGCCGCCGCCGCCGTCCGCCGAAGCAGCGGATCCGGCGGCCGCCGTCTTGAAGGAGAGCTTCGCCGGCTTCGTCACCCTTCGAAGGGAAGACGGAGCGGGCGGGGGCGAGGAGGAGGTGGCGGACGAACGCCGGAGTTGCACGGGAACGGTGAGATATGGGTGGCTGATGCGGGCCACCATCTATCCGTTCGATGAAATGACGAAGAGGAGGGAGATAGGGTGAGCAGAATGACGCCTCTTCTTGTCCGAGCCCGCACTAAGAATCGTCCTTATGATCGTTCTGTTGTTCCGCATGAGCTCCTGGGCAAACCTGTGCTAGCTCTCTCTCTCTCTCTCTATCTCCACCTCTCATTTTGACCTTCTCAACGATGTATTTGCAGTGACCAACTATCCTTTTTCTACATCACAAGAAACCCTTTCCAAGCAGATATCGTAAAAATGGAGAGGCTAAGGTATAAACAGAATGAGAAATAGCTTAGAAATATGTCAAAAAATAATGACTTTGATTGAGCAATATTATCACCAAATCTACATGAATCCCATCATTCTTCTATGATGATAGTTATGACATTGGTGCATTATTTGATGCTCCACATTAACATTATGAATGATTTCAACTGCTTCATAAAAAGTCCTCACTCATCCTGAAATCAAGAGCGGATATATATAGAAGCCATGCTGACTCGTATGATCATAAAACTTTACTACTTTGATTTATTCCACTATACATACACATCGTTCTACATGCGACAATAATTACTTTGGTTTCCTATATAGACCAATTATTTCCGTGCAAAATGAGGGTAGTTCTTCCATTGTACTCAAGACAAATAAAATAAAATGTATTCAAAATTTGAGGATCATGATGGGAAAGTATTCACTCATGCATGAAATGAAACATAATTTTTAATATCCAAATTTATAATTATTTCCTCACTCTTTGTTTAAGCGTGGTGTTGCCACTCTAAATAACTGAGTAGAGGGTGGGTGACTTGTTTGATGATAATCACTGAGTCGGTATAAAAACTATGGATTATGTTAATTACTGAGTCATACTGACTGATTTATGTCATCTCCACGTGAAATGGGCATTTAGGCTCAGTGATTCACGATTATACTCATAAATTTCATTTTCAAGAATATATAAATTCCAGTTAAATATGCTTACAGGGAATCAAATAAAATCACTGAGACAAAATAAATCTGAAGTTGAAGTGATTTCGCCAGTATTAGGCCCCTCCCTCCAGACTGAAGTAAGCCTGGCTACGGCCGTACCTTAACCATGAGTAGATCTGGTTCAGCACGCTGAACTCTGGTCCACTCCAAGTTGAGTCAACCAAAGAACTTCTGGGACTGTTCGGTGGAAGTTTGATGCCGAACAACTGTGAAGAAGACAACTGTCAATTCATATAAGTTTAAGAATCAATAACTTTGGGATTAGATTATGTTTGAATATAATACCAAACTTCCACTCTTGAAGCCAATGAAATGAAACCAAACTCCCACCAATGTGCATGATTGGGAATTTCAGAACAGAGTAAAGGATTTTCCACAATTATGAGAAATTATTCGACCCAAAGTGAAAGTATCTCGAGGAAACTATCTAGCCAATGATTGGGGTCTAACCACAAAGACTAATCTTATACTCCGCATACGTTACAGGTCTCAAAACCCACGTTGATTTCTAAATTTACAGTATTTATTGAGGTGATTGCGTATTCGATCTCCGATTCTAGCTTCAAGAAAATCTTTCTACTTTCTTTGAAAAAGTTCTTCATCCCAAGTCTTCTTGATTTTCCAGAATGGCTGTTCAGTCATACAAATGATTTTAGGGCTCTCCATTGTATCGAATTTCCTTGTTGACTGAAAGTTCTTGACAAAATATCAGTTAATACACCACGAAGCGCAAAATTAATTTCTTGAGACTGTGACTAGACCGAATGCAAAAATATTGTTTCCTCAACTATATAACAGAAAAGACAGAATGAACTAAATGTTCCTCGATTTCCATAGTTCTTCGTGTGTTACTCCATGAAATGAAGAATCTACGAGAAAACAGCACTAATTAGACTAAATAAACTAATACAATTATTGCACATACATTAAGAAACAGGGTTTAGGATAAAAAAAGTCACTAGAACAAGATGTAATGACAATCTCTAATTATTAAATACATTACTTGAGTTCTTGCAGCTGTCCAAATCACTCCCTTCCTTGGGGGCAGAAAATAAGTATTAAACAAAGAAACACAATGCTTATTGTCGGCTGATTTATTTATTTCCTTTATGGTTTCAGGAAAAGTATGATTCCCAGAGGAAAGGAACTCCGGGCCATTTGAAACGAAAGATGGGCAGTAAACCCGAGAATCCATTGGGGAACCATCGTATTTTAAAGAACAAATTTAAACGAAAGCACAATCCATGATCCGCTATGAAAAAAATCATTTCCTTGTCTCAATTAAAACATACAGAGAAGGAAAATGAACAATTCAATCAACTTCCATCTTGATAAAGGAAACAAAGTGGGTCATCCTGCGAAGGAAAGGGAGATGTTTGGCCTTCATATACGATAAAAAAAAACCATAGTTCAGTTCCCAGGCTAAAGAAAAACAAGACTTTACCGAACTACCTGTCAACAGTTCCATAACATAAGGGACTTGTTCGTTCCATCCTTTGCTGCATCGAAATTCAAAATCATCGATTGAACGTAAAATTCATCAATTCAGAGAACAATCATAAAAGAGTTCTCCCTGAAAGTTCAATATTCCACTGATCATCAACCAAAGAGGATCATTCGAACGTCAAATATCTCATGATAATACGCTAAAGATGCCAGAAAGATAACGCAGAGAAATTAAACTTTCATTTCCTATATCTCCTTTTCGTTGAGGAGGCTGGGGTTATCACAACCTTAAAAAGAACAGAACAGAACAAGCCTGTAGGAGAGCCTTCCATTCATAAATAACGAGGATCCCATCTGATCCAAACAGTCTAGAAGAAATACAGTTTTCTGGCTCTGGGCAATAGAAATTTATCCGCCCCAGACCTAACTTATCACAGAAGTTTTCTATCCTTCTGATCACTAAAGACGATTTCTTCCGTTAAGACGTAAATATATCATCTTATTTGCGATTAATGGAGAAAGATAGCTGATCCTAATGCAACGCCTGCCCGTCAAAGCTTTGACGGCTTTGGGAAGATATCTGGGGTGAACTTCTGCGCAGCAGTGATGCTGCCCTTGATCTTCATCGCACCCCTGAAACAAGGTTACTGGTAAATACTAATAAGAAATGAGCGAACGGATCACCAAAGACGGCAGAGAAATTGAGATTCGGCCGGAACCTACCTAAGGAAAGCCATCTGAGGGTTCAGTTTCCCAGTACCCACCGCAAGGAAATCAGAGTCGACGAAGGAGAATGTTACATCAGGCCTCCCTTCATATGGCCCTGTGAAATTATCCCCACATCCCGCGAGCAATGGCATCGAACAAAGAAGAGAACGAAAATCACATCAAAGTTAAGATCGTATGAGTGGAGAGCTGCGTTACTCGAAACACAAAAGAGGGTTGGCAAGCAACAGACCCTTGGTGACCTCCCCCTTCTTGAGGTCGACAACGTAGATCTCCTCGTTCTGTCCGATTTTCTGACGATGCGAACAGAGGATATTAAGAAGGGGAGTCGAGGGCGATCAGCATCGAAAGAGAGATAAACATCTAGACGGCCAAAAAAAGAGAGATAAACCACGGGGAAACCCGTTGCTCCAACCTTGGGGGAGATATTGAGCTGGTACACGAGGCCGACCTTCTTCGTGAGCTCCTTCCCCGCGTCGGTTTCCATGTGCAACCTCATCTGCTCCAGCAGGGCCGCTGACTTCAGCCCCGATCCAGACGTCAGATCAGCCATCTCTCTCTCCTTCGGCAGCTCTGCTGGAGAACCCTACCAGGCAACCTCTCCCAAAGAGCAAGGAAGGAACGGCGAAGCGACGATTAGCAGAGAGGCTCGGGAACGCAGCTCCCGCAGTAATGGTGGAGGACCGAGGTCGCCAGATGACAGGAACCGGTTCGGAACGCAAATCTAGGCGGCCTGAAAAGAAAAGAAAAAACCCACGATCTGTCCGTTGGGTGGTTAAAACCGTCGATGACTGACGTGTCAGATCGGCGACCCGACTGCGTTGATCAGACCGGCAGGACCGGGTTAAAAAGGGCATAAATAATATTATCAAATAAAAGTAATAGTGTGTATATATATGTTGATTTTCGAGCATTCGATCTAAAGTGCAGAAAAAAGTGAGGACAAAAATGTAATGTGCTTCGATTAAATTTACCATATTTATGGTAAATTTTTAGGGGCTTTTTTTATTTATTTGATAAAAAATCCGACCCTATTTCTTCGATATGAAAAATTAAATATATGAAAAAAATTACGAAATAAACTCCTCTAGCTAATTAGTTGGATATACGACTGCAATTAATACGAATAGAAAATTATTTAATATTGTAGGTCCGATCTGTTCCTTCCCCGGTCGTGTCTCCGGGATCTAATGACAGGTGGCAGCTTTCGGATGTCTCCTTTGGCGGTGGAGGGTAGATGGACAGTTTGTGGGGCCCGCACGGGGTTGCTCCGAAGAGTAAACGGGCAGGCATTGGCGACCTGGACCGCCCAGCTTACCTACTCGCTGCGAGAGCTGTCAGGACTCTACTGTCCTTGCTTCAAAGTCCATGTACTTTCTATTAGTCCTCCAAGAGCCTGATATTTATAAGTATACATAAACCGATAGTTTTAGGGGTATGGACGCAAAACTATGAGATCTGAAGACGAAAGAGCGACGATTAAAACCGAAATGATAGGTGTTGTTATTAGAAGAAATGGTCCCAAACAACAGATGAAGAGAAGAGCGTGGGAAGTCGCCGTCCCTCCTCGGAACACGCTTCCGAGGAGGTATTGCCGCCGGCCTCCTCTTCTTGCCGTCGGTATCGTTGGTTACGGTTGCAGGGAGGATGAGGTCGTCCGTCTGGTCGATGTTCAGCGTAATGCATGGGTTGTGTGGTTATTTGTAGAAGCTGCGCGACAGGCGGCTAGCGTGGTTTCTGATTCTTGCTCGACGCCTTCGTCTACGAGGTGGGGCCCAGTCACAGAGCACGTTTAGAAGAAATAGACAATGCGTTCGAGTTTCTTGTTTCCTTTTTGTCTGCCCATAATTTGATTTTAACCGTAGCGTTGGTGATCGTGACGTGCGTTCCTTCTTGGATCATGGGAGATGTTGCACTACCATTGATAAAAAATACACTATAATATACAGAAATATGAGTAATATGATTACGGAGATTGACATAGCAAATGGTGCCTGGTCTTCGGTTGCTGGGAAAAGTCGAGCCAGTCGATTATTTGATATTCACTTTCAATACATGAATAAGGTATAATCTCAAGAGAAATTGATTTCCTTGATAGTTTGACAAGGGTAAGTTGCAGTGCATGGTCATCTGCGCCAGATGTCTGAGGAGCTTAATGTTCTGGACCCGCTCCCTAGATTAAATGTGGAAATTCGTGGTTTTCTTTTATTTTTCTGCGACTACCTCACTGTTTGGTTCAATTAATTATCGTCAGATGGCTAAAAGTCAGACATGGTCGATTTTGACAGGCAAGAAGATGAGAAAAGGAAAATCGAAAGGAAATAACATGGAAAAGTTGTGTTTTTTTCCCCACATGGTGATTCCGAACCGTCCACAAAGCTTCCCCCTGGGCTGCTGTTGCTGACAAATAAAATGAGCATACATGTGCCACTGCTTGTCGATTTTGATAGGCAAGAAGATGAGAAAACGAAAGTCAAATGGAAATAACATGGAAAAACTTTTCTTTTCTCCACATGGTGATTCAGAACCGTCCAAAAAATTCCCCTCTGGGCTGCTGTGGTTGACAAATAAAATGAGCATACATGTGCCACTGCCTGTCGATTTTGACAGACAAGAAGATGAGAAAATGAAAGTCAAAAGGAAATAACATGGAAAAACTTGTGCTTTTTTCCCCACATGGTGATTCAGAACCGTCCAGAAAACTTCCCCCTGAGATACTGTGGTTGGAAAATAGAGTGAGCATCCATGTTATGTAAACCCACGAGTTGGTCGACTTTTCAGCACGATTTCCTTGCCTTCTTTTTGACTCTTCTCCGACGGACACTAGTAACCTTATCGAACCTGAATACAACCTTATTCTCATAAAGGTCTTCGTAATTCCTAGTCTTTTGTTTCAAAGTTTTCTGTGGAGTTATTATTCAATAACATTGACGGTAACCTTTCCATGAAAATTTTGATCATTGGTTACAGAATCGTCTTCAAGAGGTGTCATGATCTGTGGCAGCACTAGACTAAAGGGAATTAAAAAACATATAGGAAATCTTATCACTAGAAAGATGAATGAGAAGAACAATCTCCTATTTTCAGAGTTAAAAGGTGAAAGCAAACTTGACTGTAAAAGTTGCCACTGATCTTGAAGTTTTTCGTCGATTTTTAATCAAAATATTTTTATTCCTTTTGGACAGGAGAGTCTAGAATAATTATTTCAATAGCTCGAGGATCAAGTTGGAAGAACTAGATAGATGCAATAGATGACAAAAAGCCAACTAAAGACTAGGATGGTGAAACCTTTGATGGCGTTTCAGTTTTTTATAATGCTTACATATTTTTGTGTTTTTAATGGTATCCTCCAGCACTTGGACTTAAAAGACTTTTATGGCCCGTTCAAACTGATTTTCTTTCATTTTTTAAAACATTGAGACAGCATAAGTGACTTTCTTTGATAGGTTTCAATAACAATATCTTGATAAAATGGTTGCAACAGTTATTGAAGCTGATAAAATAGAATCCCGAAAACAAATGGTCGAAGGATCCCATTCGTTAGAGTGCATTTTCTCATAGGGGAAAACTTTGATTACTTGATATCAGAAACTAAAGTCTACAATAGTTCACTGACTAGTAGGTGGCATGAGACAAACTCTCGGCTTATCTTACCAAACAATTTTGGAAATGTAAGATTCAATGACGAAAATGTTACCTAAACAACTAAACAAATTTTCTTTAGCGTCCATACTTCAAGTTGTTTGTTTCGTATTCAAATGCTGAGAAAGATAATGAACATTCAAACTCCTGGTTAAACTACTAAGAGAGAGAATTTTCATTGACATAGTGGAAATATATGACTCAACTTTACACTACTTTTCTCGTAGAAGAATGCCTTCTGATTTATACACAACAGTAGTTTTACCTTGTCCAGAGTTCAAGGCCAAGCCAGAAAGCATTTTACGAGTACCAGTCGTGACCTGAGAGGACCTGAGAATCACTTCTGTAGTACTTGGCTAAAATGTGGGGAGAGGAATCCTTAGGAATGACTAAGCCAAATTTTGCCTAGATCCTTGGCAAGCATTCAGTATGGCTTGTCCAGAGGCCAGTGAGCATATTTGGTTGAACTTGCTGGGCCTCTCTCAGCACATAAGGAATATTTCCTATGGATCAGGAAGCTGTTGTGTTTGCGCTAACTAATTGGCCATGATTCATCTCATGAGACTTTTATGGTTTCTAATCTAGACGGAAGTATCAGTGGTGCTGTGCCTCCCGCCCCATCCCAACCCACTTCCCCAGGAAGGTCTATCTGAGAATCGTGCAACCGCCTTTGTGTGAATCAGTATGGCTCAAGAGTCATAGCTCTCGGGTACCGGTGAGGGAAGAAGAATGGATGACTAGATTTGAGAGCATGAAGGGAGCCCATTAGCATCAGGAGTGTAGACCTTTAGCCGAGACAGAATAGCAACGGACTAATAGTGTTGGTGGACTATTAGTGCTGGCTGAAGGAGGTCAGTGAGTATATATTCTGTACACGTAGACTGAAACTGGCAATGATGAGGGAGGAAGCATTCTGAATACTTGCAGAATAGGGGAACCTCGATCAGGAACAGAAAGTATTTTATATTCATCTGTGATTTCTTCTGGAGTTATTCAGATTGACTTCTCCAGTTTAATTTATTGGTCATCTTCCATTGGTTTCACTTGGGACTCTCTCGGTAGGGTATGTCAGGTTCCAATGACTGTCTCAGAAAAAAAAATAAAAATCAATTATGTTGTTTAACTTATGCTCCTGTTTATTTTATATTTGGCCATCTGCCTTTATGACGAGTTTCTGTTTATGTTTCTGTTTATGTTTCAGTTTTGAGAGAATTTTATCGAATTTATCTTATTTGTGTTCATATACTTTTTTCTTCAGCATTTATCCATGAGGTTGCTCAGTGATAGAGCCACTTCAATAAAGACCGACGTCATGGAACGTGTTGAAGTAGTGAAGTTCTCTGAATCAATGTGGAAACTCACTTATTATATTTCAGCGCTCAACAGTGGGTTATCTGAATTTATCGATCAGAATCATTGGACTGCAGATATAAGGCAGTACTTCGATGGATGGCCGAATCGAGAGCTGACGTTCTACACTTTTCTTCAAATTGGTTTTTCTTTGGCCGTGCCCTTTTTAACTTGGATTTGGTGCTTCAAACTCTTTACCCTTGCATTCGTTAGTATTTTCATAGCATAGCTGTCGAGTTTGATCTGACTGTTCATCGACCCCCAGATCTTCCTAGAACTCATCGACCCCCAGACCCCCAGACGCTTTCTTGCCATTTTATATGTATCTTTAAGATGGAGATGCTGACTTTGTGGCCTTTCGCAGACATCATGGCATCATAATTCATGATGCTTCTGTTGGTGATTGGGCAAAATAAATTTTATCCGGATTTTGCGGATTCATGACACTTGGGGGGCTCTTGCTCAGCCTTTTTCTTATCACATGAGTGATTTTATTACCATTTCATATGAATTTGCTTGATATGTAATGATCATGTGGATTACAGATACTAGAAGTTTCTT